ATTAAAAAAAAAACACCGTAATCGTTGCACGTCCCTGTGGTCACCAATCGGGAAGCGGCAATAAACGAGATAATCGAACTAGATATCGTGCCAATGAAACAAAAGGAAATAGCCTCCAGCGTAACCCGAAGGGTAACACTCTTGTGAAAGAAAAACAAACGCATGCCTGTTGACACCAGAGTAAAAAAGAACGTATCGAGGCCACGCCGCCGTGCGCCGGCTAAAAATACACGCGCGTGTACGAATCCTTTGACTATCTCAAAAAACCCGCTAAACCGCTAAAACGTAGACGGTCGTAAACTTTCTCTCCCTGTCATGTGCGTGTCGTGCGGGGAATATAGTGCGGGAGCACGAGCCGGACGCGTGTCCAACCAGCGCGAAGGAACGTTCTGAAAAATTTTATCGGATAATCCACGATTGGCAACTATTGCCGTTAGAAGACAACGCGCGAGGCGAGCAGCCGTAACAGTTCTCAGACCGGTATTTTTCAGCGATCAAAGGCGCCACTGAGGTCGGATCCTCTGCTGTTATCGCGTCGCGTTTCTGGTTCGAAGCAGCCCGATAACCGACATATCCTTGCCGACAGCAGTACACCCTCGAGCTGCGGAATCTTACCGGACAAAGTTTAATCGCCGAAACCATAAAGAAGACGCAACACGTCGCGTAGATCGTGCGAGATGCTTTTGTGCACCCGATAAAGGGAAACCCGTCCCGACGATAAAACTATTCCAGCGCACAGAACGCGTCTGAACATCTCATTGGCTCGTCCAGGGACAATGAATCTTGGTACCGCCACTTTTCTTTTCCCCGCCGGCGGAGTTTTCGAACCTGACAACATTTCCCGCGACTTTCGATAAGGATTAGAAATTACAGACGATCGTGATCCGTTCGATCCACGGAGGAGATAAAAAAAAACAGAATATTTGGCCGTGATAAATTGCTCGCGATTCTCGGAATGTGCGGCGAGTGTTTCACGTTTTTTTTCTTTTTTTATTTCCGACGATCAAGATGATCGATAATAGAGAAAACACGATCGACGGTGATAAGACCGGCTAATCTCGCATACGAAACTCTGTTGTACTATATTTACACGGTCGATAAAGATAAATTGCGTGTTTAGAATATAATTTCAGGATACATTGGATGCTTGGCATGGGCAACGATAGCCTCTTGACTTTCGCTGATTTGTATGTGGAACAATAAGCTGTGAGATACACAGATATTCAATGTTAGATAAATCGCACTACGTGACGTGTGCGTGAATATGCATCGCGGCGTATAATTTTAACGTTTCGTAATGAATATCGATCGAGAAGATTTTTCTATTGGTAGTTTTGTTATGCAAATGATTTCCCATATAAGAAGATCCAATATAAGAGGGCTTTAAACCGAAGAAGAACATTCTTATTGCGGAGGTTTTTAAAAAGAATCGAGTACGAAACCTTTGAAAAAGGAGCGGCTGGCCCGAAAAGGACGAGGCGCCATGGGTTAAGCCTAAATTAGATACCGGAGGACGGCACTGATCTATCCCATTGGGAACGGCATTGTCACGTTGACGCGCTTGTGTAATTTCCAGGCTGCGGGGATCGCCGTATTCAAACGCCATGACATAATGGCCATTAGTGAGTCACGTGTCAGAGCGTGGCTGCCGAAACTAAACAGTCTACGCGCTTTTTCAAACGAGCCGATGTTATGTAAGTCACTCGAGGGGCAACAAACTATCGTCGGCACGTTCACCGCGACAAATCGCCTCTCCTGCACTTGTTTGTTGCGGTGGGCATGCATTTCCGGAACGTAGCAAATGCCAATCCTAATCGGGCAAATCCGTGCGTCGCGCCCTTGCGATCTAACTTCACTTTCTCGCAATCGATGCACAGGAATCTTCTGCACAGAAATCTCCAATTAGAATAATTACTCCGAATCGTACTCCTCTATAATATAGCCCGTTAGATTAATCCGTGTATCATTTCAGTTAACTCGGTGCGAAAATCGCGAGGCTTTTCGCGGCGCTTTCTCCGGAAATGCACACGTTGTCGAATGCATGCGTGGGAATCGTACGTGCAAACAATTCATCGAGTGTGTCGCCGACGGACCAGGTCGAGTAGGCGTCCGCAAAAGACGAGTGACCGGAAAACGCGTACTTGTGCGGAGGCTGGAGAACAAGCGGGCACGCGCACTTAAAAACGAGCAAAATGTATTTTAAGAGAGCAGTCAAGCCGGTTATGAGAAGAAATCTGCTACGAACAGGCCTCGGACACGATTCATTGGAGACATTACCAGCGTTACTTTGCATGTTACGTTCTGTTCGAATGTTTCGCGGATAAAAAAAAGTTAGAAAAATTGGATCCGCGACGTGTCGCGTTAAAATGGTCATGCCCTACACCTGTACTTTTTTCCCCCCTCATCGCCACCCACGCCGCTCAACCGAGATGCACGAATATCTATGATCCGCGATCTGTATGCAATGCTCGAAGAATTTATTGCTATTTCTGGAGAGTAGAATAATTTATGGTAATATATTTAGAGGCTGCAGAAGAAGATCAAGGCGCGCCAAGACGGCGACACTGTAAGTTGGCAATACGCTCAAACTACTATAAAGATGAACTGCCACGCTAATCAACCACTGAATCGCGGTTGAATGCCGGGTGTCAGAACGTTAGAAGGAATCAGTTTTATTACGGTCCGCCGTTTAAAAATAACTAGCACCCGGGGAGTAGCACCCGTTGAAAGCTCAGGTCACGAGAGGCCTCTAGTATGTATTTATTTATTTTTTCCGATGATGTGTTGTGAGGTCAGGAGCCCGTTAATCGGTCCCCCGCTCGCATCATTCAAAAGCATTCGAGATTAAACAATAACGCTACTAACAACACTCTTCCCGCTCATAAGCGTCTAATCGGGCGACGCGAGTCGATGTTCTTTCTTTATTCCACGATAAAACCGCGCTTCTCTGAAACGTAGATAACCATGCAAAACCTTTCTGGAATTTTCGTTCCCCCCACCCCTCGTACGCGATCTTTGCATACCGTTTGCACTTTTATTTGTACGATCGTACTACGTTATCTCGCAGACGTGTTTCGCGAGCGCCGTGCTTTACGCGCGAGTAAATTTCCCGGCGAACTATATTTAAAATAGAATCAACAGAATCACTACCAACCCTAGCGCACATGTTCAATGAAAGTTATTACCATGACTGCAGAATTTGAATCGTAAAGAATAGTAGTATGTAAACAGTAAATCAGTATTCGAACTTCTGTAATAGAAACTTTTCGATCTGCATTTTTTTAAACGAGCTTAATCCTTCATGCAACGAAGTGTTGTAAAACGGTTTTTTTTGTTTAATGATTTTACCGATGGATAGTTACTTTGTCGAGCCGGGTGTACTTTTTGTCTGGAGTAACATATGTACATGGCATTCGTGACATTCCGTGTGAACGTTATCTCGCGCAGTTTGTTTGTAAACAAAGGGGTCTGCTTCACGCAGACGATAATAATACCAGCGTCGGGACTATAAATGAGCTTTATCGCGAGTTATAGCTGCATAGTGCTGCAACTAATTGTGTAACCCGTCTCGGTTACATAAGAAATTGATGCGGATGCGCGACGGTTGCGTTCCTGGGTCGCGTGCAGAGAGATTCCGATGCAGATCGATCGGGGGTTGCTCGTAGATGGTGCTAGTGAATTTTCGAGCTATTTTCAAGACGGTTGCCTATCGTGCATAACAAGTTTAAACCGTCTTTAATTTTCCCTGTAGATGGCGAGCACGTTTCAGCAATAATAAAATTAATAAAACAGAACGATCGCCGACAGAATTAACAGAATTCAAAAACAAAAATTCGAACGATTCTCCAAATTCTCTGACGTTAGGAGTTCGGATGAATGAAAATCTCGTTACTCACGTGTTTATTTATCTCAGGAACGATTCGAATGCGACGTAGGATGCCGTTTTGTTGCAGCCCCGTTCCTCCAACAGCATCCAAAAGTTTTCTGAACGTAGCTGCCCGAACTTTTGAGATCACCAGTGATTAGGAATCTTCGACTTTTGATGCGACACGCATCGACGATCCAGAGAACGATCTTCGTGAAACGGTTGAGCACAAAATCCCGTGGGAAATCGAGCGCGTACGAGATCGGAAAACCGGCGTGCGAAACGATACGAATGGATGGCTCTTTCTCCCTCACGTGGCAGAAACAGTCTAGTACATATATCACCGACGTAGATATCGATGAGGTTCATAAGTCGTGGTTCATTCTCTTTTGTACGTCGGTTGGGTTACGACACTTACGGACTAGTTACCGTGGTTAGTACAGTAAGAAACGTGGAATATGTTTGTTAGACGCAAGAAGGTTTCACGATGTACCTCCTGGGCTGGTCGCCGGCGCGAATCGCCCGATCTGACCTCCTCGTCCGTCCGACTGCGTCTGAGAGGACCGGCGCAAGTGTCATCCGACCATAAGTCGAAGACAAGCCGGCATGTATGCGACGCACGCGCATTCTCAGCCTCGTGAGTTTCACGTGATTCCGAGAGATCCACGAATCAGCGGCCCCCGGGGCCCACGTGGACGCATTCTTGGACGGTGCTGGCGACAAACTTGATTCGTGGGCCAGAAGTTAATAGGAATTGAGAAAAGGAAACGATCGACAATCAATCGCCGGCTTTTACCTGAATTTTTACTATCGTATCAGTCCAAGTACACCCGGGATAAAACAGGGGCAATCGCTAATGCAGCCGTTCAGTCCCGCGCGGAAGTGTGCGCTTTTTCGGCAGTCACTTCGCAGAATAATGCTTTGGGCTAGATAATAAAATGAACACGTCATTAGGCATCGTGATCTTGATAAAAATTATGCGATAATTATGAGTTATGTGCAATATATAAATAACAACACTGTTTACAAATTTTAATCCACGATGGAATGTTTCGCGGAGTACATACATATGAGATATAGCTCTATACTGAACTATACTTTGCTCTAGGATAGTAGAAAGAAAAATATGAGTAGATTTAGTTTGTAGTACGGATTGTTCTGTTTATTTGCAAATAGGTTTCCCGGTTAAATGGTTGACCGATTCAAAGTAAAGGAAGACCTGGATTCGAAGTCACAACAGGGATGATTTAACACAAATAATTATTAATCATATTAACGACGACGAGAATGGAGCCCTTAGAATTGTGCCCTTTCGGTGGTTCTGTATATAAAAGCGATGAATCATTGAATGATGTGGGATGTTCAAACAGACGACGAGAGTAATTAATAATGTTTGTCACTGAATCCGAAAATTACGTTTATCGGTGTTTTATATATGAACCAGTTGCGCCATAAAAGTAACGTCGCCGATAAGAATTTGTAAACAGTACAAGCTGCTCTACGATCGTCGGTCATTGAAAGAAATTCGTTTACTTTGTCGCTAATGCGTGTGAAGATGCGGGCGGGGTACGAACGTAGGTACAAACGAGTCCTCGTGGGTAATACGACACGCCGCCATGCTGCCTCAAGGCGAAGATGTCTATTATATTCTAGCGTGCTCCGTTAAGTCCATTGTCACACAGCGAAAGATTACAAACACCTAAAACTTGATACCCCTTCGCCGGGAAGCTCGAAATGTAAAGGCATCGTCGTATGAAGGACAATGTCCACTCAATAAATTTTTATATATCGTTTGAATAAACAAACTGTACCGACTGTTCTGCCATCCGTATCGTTATCACACAATTTATTAAAACACCGATTTTTACGAAAAAATTAATCGCAAGGCGAGGAGACGACAAAATAAAGTTTAAGATCGAACGTAACGATAAAAAGAATTCTTTTTTTTTTCTTCTTTGAATCAGTCCATTTTTTTCTTCTTACAATTAAAGCATAATAATCGAACACGCTCGATTGACTGTCTGTTTTAAATGCAACTAACACAAGGGCAGATCTTTTTCCGTGTTGCATCTGTTAGTTCGCTATTACTTGGTTCGTTTTCCTCTATCTTCCATGTAAGAACGCAAAATTGATGAACGTCTGATTTGTTGCGTCATCTTGAGCACTTGCTTAACGAACACATACTTGATATATACACCCATAAATAAAACCGCCACCTAAATAATTATGGGAGTGTAACGAGATAATATTAAAAACATTCGTTTTCCTCGAACACTCTTACAATTATGTAGCCGCAAACTGTTCTTTCTATTTCTTTTCTTTTTCTCTTCTTGATTGAGTTATAAGTGGCTTCATTGCCCCAATGTATACGCACACACAAACGATAAAATGCCGCAAATCGTTCGAAGCAAGATTACTCTTATTACTTTTAGAAAGATTGCTTTAGCTACGACAATAAATAATAAGAATAATTTCCTATTCATAGATATTCATAGATTTAGGTTCATCACGATTGCTTCGCGTAACAGAATATGTACCTCCAATTATGATGAAATTGCTTTGCATGATCCGCGTTAAACGACTTTCTTCTCATAATTAATAGCACGTAAAAAAAAAAGAAATGGCTTCGTTGTCTATTTTAAAAGATGAAAGCATGCTTGCGATTAGACTGTATGACCTGAGAGAAACCAAATCACAACTCACATGAAAGTATAATTGGCTAATGATAACCAATCAGCGTGTTTCGTTGAAAAGAAAAAATATATGTACAATAAAATGTATACATATGTATATGTACAGTATTAAAAAATTACTACGAGCTTATAGGAACCCTGTTGATAATATCGTCAACATGAATGAATTATTCTATGCCTGATCTATATCAACCGAATATATAAAATACTCGCATACGTATATACATGTTAGAGGTAAAGTCCAACAAGTCTAATTTAAATGAAAATTTAAAAATCTTTGTAATGTGATGATAGAAGCTCCGCAAGAACAATACGAATACTAAATATAATACCATTCGTTGTATGAATAATTTTCATTTTGGTTCATTGGGTAGTTATTTAAAAATTAAATATTCCTTCACAGACTTTACCTGTAACGCATATGATTAGAGCAGTTACTTCTAACCAGCATAATTATTTAATTCAAAATTGACACAGACATAGAAATATTATGTCTTCCATTCAAAAATGGTTTCTTTTCGAAAGACACAATGTCACATCATTATCCGATGACAATTTAGGCGTAATAACTAGTAGTTATTATAATTACTTGCATACATATGTGTGCAATGATGACAGTATCGTAATTCTCGGACATATTGATCATTAATCCTATAATCCTACATACGTATCATGATTCTCCATAATAGAGACAAACATTTATCGATTCACATAAAAAATCATGCTGGTCTTTGATATTCTAGTTCATGCTGATATAATATATACACCGTAGTTAATATACATCAATAATCAGTCGTGTATGATTGCGTGGTCGAATCGGACCATTACGTTATCACAAATAAATGCTAAAAATTAAATGTCCTATCAATTGTCTTCTTTGAACTTTAAATAAACAAACCCGACAGATACAGCTAATGGTCTCGCTTATCGCTGTGTAATATGGATTCATTAAAGCGATCTTCATACTTCGGCAAATAATGAAAAGAAAGGAAGAATCGCTTAGAAATCGAAATTAAATTAGAACTTATTTACCCTAGATTTACATATTCCGGCGAATCCAGGCTAAACAGTTTACCATCCTAAAAAGGTCCTATGAAACTGTTGAAGGAAGAGTATCCTATCTTAAAGTTTTCGAACAAATGAATTTTTTGATGAGTGATACTCCGGTTGTGAATGTACACGTGTCATTGTACGATTAAGACAGTGTGTTACATGTTCGAGGTCTCTGGCAGCAACAGAGACTTCGCAATCTTGCCGCAGGGCTAGACTCTTCCGATCACCGTTCCTCGACACTTTCGCTTCCGCCACTCTCTGGCTGAGGTCTTGCAATCTGATAGGTGATTAGGTATTCCGGATATGCTTGTTCACCTCTGTAGACGACGTACTCGGGGAAGAACAAACCACCCTGCGACGGCCTCCCCATCACACTGTGATGACCCGGCGGTGCATGAGCCATTTTCATCGCGGAGAAATGCAAAAATGATTTGCCCAATGTGACGCGACAGAGTAACAAATGTCTACAACCAGTGAACATGAGAGAGCATAAAATTATTTGTATATTAGATGCTTCATACAGTAGGATCCCGTGCAAATAAATTACTTGGAACAACTTGTACATTTTCTTACGGGTTCCCACTGTGCTACTGCCGCTTTGCACTTACCTGTGACAAATATAACAACTCCTATCCTTGTGAGCTGGACATCCAGTGCCCCCGCATATACCGTAAACGTATTGATTGCTTTTACTGCTGTGCTCGGCAAAATAAATTCCAGCGCCGAACATACCACCGATATAAGCATGCCGTTCATCAAATCCCTTCTGAACAATGGCATTAATAAATGGGCTCCCATGGAACAGCATTCTTTCATTAGCCTGAGGCAAGGTCGAACCAGGAGTAGTCCTCGAAGTGGTACCAGGTGAGGAAGGTGCCGCAGCACCAACTTCCTCTGCCACCTCCTGTCTCCTATGAGCGTAACGTTCCCACAATTTGCGATTTTGCACTTTTTGTATCTATTTTTCAGAAAAATTTATCATTAACTTGTGGTTAACGCCAGGATCTCTTAACGAACTAACGGAAACATACCCTAACTATGTTATATCTCGAAAATATGCCACCGGAGTGACCGTTATCCCTATGTTGTCTAATAGTACTCTGCATTTCCTCTTCAACGGCTAAAAATTCTTTGTCTTCTGCTAGCAGATCCACTAAGAGCGTTCCGGGTGTGAGAGTCGGTTGCCAAGGAGTGCCAGCAGTGGTGTTCAAAAGTTTCTCCATTCCTTTGATCAACTTATGCCTATACCCGTATGCGGAAACTCCGACTTGTTTCAAATCCTCATGGCCCATCTCTGCCAATATGTCTAACGTAATCTGTTCCCGTTCAAACAGCTCTAACAGGTGCTCTAAACCAAGGCTTTGAAGGAAACCAGCTACGGTCGTGATGTTTGTATTGTCTTTTGAATCTTTAGAGTCTCTCTCGGAGCATGTTTCGGATGGTGGCATTGGACTTAAACAAGAAGATGGTCTAGCGAGTGGTACGCAAAGAGTCATAGCCGTTCCTGAAGGCATAATGACGGTTTCTTGAGTAAGTGGCGGTGGAGGTGTAACTGGAACTGAGTAATAATCAGTGAATAAAAAGATATGTTCGTAAGCAGTGAATATTGTATATAAAAATCTGCTTACCTGCAACTATACTGGGTGGCCTACTATTAATAGTATTACTACCATTACCACTCAAATTAATAGCCACTCCTACGCCACCGTTACCCGATGGCACCGAAGGTACTACTTGCTGTGTGGCCATAGCATCTTGCAATAAGCATCGTACGTCGTCAGCACTAGCTAAATCCACAGGTGTTTGCCCCTCCTGATTTTTCAAGAAGGGATCCGCACCATGAGCCAACAAAAGAGCGCACAGTTGCGTCCTTCCCTTCTGTGCTGCTTCGTGAAGTGGCGTGAAACCCCATTTATCAGTTGCGTTCACCACGGTATTATATTTAATCAGCAACGCGGCGATATCTAAGTGACCATAACTCGAAGCATTGTGCAAAGGTATCAATCCTCCTTTATCCTGAGCGTTCACGTCGGCTCCACGTTCAAGCAAAAATTCCGCCACTTCCAAGTTATTGTATCCCGCTGCATTGAAATACAATTCAATTAGAATGCATGATCATAGCGAGAGAGGAGCGATAGAACTCACCGGCTAAGTGTAACGGAGTACTGTTGCGACCCTGCGCATCCCTACAATTGATATTATCTTGGGTAACTAGTCGTTGTACTCTAGCCAGATTGCCTTTCTTAGCTGCATCTAGAAGAGCACTATTTCCTCGCAGCAAGTCCGCTACGTCTTGGTCACCGTCCCTAACTAAATCCAACGGAGTCGCACCGTCCCTATTCTTTTTGGTGGCGTCTGCACCGTGTCTTAATAACAATCGAACTATCTCATATTTTCCTTTAGCAGCAGCCTCGTGCAGCGGTGTAAATTTCCACAAATCTGCAACGTTCACTGATGCACCGTGTTTTACTAATAATTCCGTTACCTCGTAATGACCGTAAGAGCAGGCATTGTGTAAGGGAACCAGTCCACTAAAAAATAAATATAAAAATTTATTGGGAACTGTGATTATGTATGAACAAATAGAAAATTGAAAAATATATTCACCCTTTATCTTTGGCGTGTACGTCTGCTCCATGTGCCAATAAATATTCGACTACAGGCACTCTATTAAATCCCGCTGCAAAGTGCAGCGGCGTGGAGTGCCTACCATCCAAGTCACGGCAATTAACGGCATGCGGGTTCGTTTGCAAAATTCTTTCAACCGCCGCTAAATCTCCGGATTTACTTGCTTCCAAGAGCTGCGCTTCGGCATCGTCCGTCTCGCTTGGCGGATCTAGAAAACAAAAATGAGAACGGGAACATTCTTTGGTTACAAAAATACTTTCTGCTTGAAACAAGTTAGAAGTCGAACCTTGTAGTATTTTAAGGACATTTTCTGCAGCTACTTGTGCCGCAGTATAGCCCTGAAGCGATACTATAGATGGATCAACATTGTATGATAACAATATTCTGCAAGCTTGCACATTGTCTTCTCTAACGCACCTGTTTGTACAACAAGATTTTTTAATGAAAAAAAAAATGATAATCAAGCGGCTCTACAGAGAATAATAAACTGAACATTTGCGCAACGTTTTATACGGTTGAAACGGTACCTGTGTAGTGCAGTTTGCCCTAATCCATCTAAAGCATTGACTTTAGCATTATGTCTAAGTAGCACATCCATTGCATCATAATGAGAATGATCAGTGGCCACATGAAGTGGCGTTAGAAAGTCTTTATTTTTCTCATTTAAGGCAGCATTTTTCCTAATCAATGATTCTATTACTTGTTTTCTCTTGGGATAGGGAGATGCAACGGCACAGTGCAGTGGTGTGTCCCCAGTATATGGGTGTTTAAAGTTTACAACTTCTTGGGACAGGTACTTTTTTAACTTAGTAAGATCTGCCTGCCTGCAGGCATCCAAGAGGCAGTGTCCCTTGTATTCGTCTACAATTAAAGTGTATCTAACAAAGTCATGTTTTGTGTGTATACTATTTTCTTTTTTTTGTTTTTTTTTTTTTTTTTAATTCAGAAAAGACAGTGG